TCAATACAATTACTTAGGTTTTAGCCCTTTTTGCAAATTACTTACCCTGCCTAAGACTCCATTTCTTCATCTGTAAAATGAGAGAACTGAACTATTTCTAAGACTCCTTTAACTCTGAGATTCTATAACTCTATGGTTTTCATGATAAGGTCTCTCTCTCTGCTCCTTCCACGTCTATAAGTACCTTTCCATGTTTTCCGAGGAACTCCATGAGATACCTCATCTACTACATTATGAGGTTCTCTATCCTCTCCTTCTTTCAGAAATTCCTTCCTGAAGCAGATCCCTAGGGATGATAGTGGAAGAAAAAATTATTTCAAAGAATGTGAAGGCACAAACTGAAACCTGGATTTTTATCATAGCACAGGGTAGGGGAGAGAGTATGTAGGAAAAAATTAAACTAACCTTTATAAGTCTCATTTTCTTCACCTGTAAAATAAGGAGGTTGGACCAAAAGATGTCTAATATTCTTTTAAGTTCTAAACACTATAATCTTTTGAGACTGAAGAAGCAAAGTCATGAACAAGACTGAATGATAGGGGTGTGTACATTATATGCTGAAGGCCTATGTGTTAGAGATGGAGAGCCAAGGAAGTGAGGGGGAAATGGAAGGTAATTTCAAATTCATATTGGTTTCTCACAGTATGAGCATGTGTATGTGGCATTTCTGTATATTCATGAAATTCTACCAGGAGTGACACTACAGGCTTTCAACCTTACTTGCTGATATTTGAGCAAGAACAGCACCTACCTATGGACCTATGCTTTGGAATCTCAGAAGTCAGAGAGGATGCAAATGCTTATAACAAGGACGTTATTTCTCAACTAAAAAATTGGATGAAAGAAATTTATCAGTTAGCCATGAGTTCGGCTTAAAAGATTTCCCAAGGACACAGAAAGTGTGATGCTCAAGTTCACTGTCAAGAACTCCAGCAAAAGAACAGACTTTTACTCAACAACAACCACCACCTTGGTCTTCAGGGAACAAACAAATTAGAAGACTGATGCAAAGGTACTACACAGAAGGTAGTTATAAGAGGCTGGGCAACTTGCCTGTTTTCAAAGAGGCCCCAGAAAGTGGTGGAGTATCTGCAAAGACCATTGTAACTAACTACTGCACATAGGGGAAGCAGTCATAGTTCAAGAGAAAAGAAATGATAGAAAATTTGCTAAGCCAACTGAGAAAGACTACCTACCAGTTGTAGAGAAATTGAACCAGATAATAGCTCTTAGTGTTGCATCTGTCCCCATCCTCTCTATAGGGCATTACAAACCTGTGAAGAGCTTCCAGGAGAGCTCTCCTCTGGGGCAGGGATGAAGTATGACTAACTCAGTCTGAAGGAATGGGCGAGAGCAGGAGCTTTGCTATGATGCAGGCCTGATTATATCTGAAAACAGTGACCCTAAGAGTTAGTGGAAAGAGTCAGGTGGGGTTCTACCTTTGGAACAGAAGAAAAACCACATTTCTTTGAAAGAAATGCCCCTAAAGTCACTAAACTGTGACTTTTGACCCAGCAATACCACTACTAGGCCTATATCACAAAAAAAAGACTTAAAAAAAAAGAGGAAAAGGACTCATATGTACAAAAATTACTTGTATCAGTTCTTTTTGGAGTAGCAGAAATAAGCAAATAAATAAAAAACAAACCCTAGAAACTAAAAGGGTGCTCACCTATTGGAAAACAGATAAAACAATTATGATATATAAATGTGTAGTAGATTATTTTTGCACCAATAAGGTACAATAATAACAAAATGGTTTGCTTCAGAGGAAAATGGGAAGACCTGCTATGAACTGATACAGAATAAAATGAGCAGAACTAGGAGAATAATTTACACAACAACAATATTTTAAAGAAAAACAAATATGAAACATTTCAGGACTCTTATCGATTTTGATTAATAAGCCACAATTCCAGAAGCCCAAAGATGAAACATGTTATGCTAAACATGACAGAGAGGTGATTGCCTCAAAATGAAGAATGAGATATATATTCCAGACATGTCCAAAGAGAAGTTTTTGCTTTATGCAATCTCCTGATGTCCTCATAATGCTAGTGTTTTCCCTCTATTAATTCTCTTCAATTTATTTTATCTGTTATCTTGTTTGTCTGTAGTTATTTCTGTGTTGTCTCCCCCACTGGATTGTGAACTCCTTGAGAAAAGGAACTGTCTCTTCCCCTTCTTTGTATTTCCAGCACTTAACACAGTGCCTGGCATATAGTAGGCATTTAACAAATGCTTATCAACTGACTCTCCCAACTTCCCTATTGAGTTTAATGTATTTCTAATGTATTTTCTTTGCATATGTGTGTAAAGATGTTCTTCTTCCCTTTGTCCAGTTCAGAAGAAAACCAACTCCAGACCCTCTATTTATCTTACTTACCTTTCTCTATGACCTTTGAAGACATTTGGGCTCTGAGAACGTATCTGTTTCTTCTCCCTCATTAGCATGAAAACAATTTATTCTGAGTGCCTTCAAGTTGATCAAATATCTGTACATTTCTATTCTTTTCTTGTCTCCTGCTTTCCCATTTCAAAGTATCTACTCAGTTATGGCCTTTTCATCATGAAAGTTGGAATTACTCTATTTCATTAAAGATCCATTTCCCCACACTGTTGGATTATACTCAGTTTTGCCACATAGGGTTATTCTTGGTTGTACACTTTTATCTGTTACCTTTTCAAATACACACTTCAAGTACTCTTCTTTATCATAGCAGCTGACAAGTCTTGTGTGATCCTGATTGTGGCTCCCTAGTACTTGACTCTTTCTTTTTGGCTACTTGCCTAGAAACTCTGGATTTTGACTATGACATTCCTAAGAGTTTTCATTTTGGGGTTTCTTTACAGATATAACTGGTGGATTTTCTCTATTTCACTTTACCCTCTTGTTCTAAGAGAACTAGGCAGTTTTTATTTATATTTTCTTGAAATATGGTATCCAAGATTTTTTTCCTAATGATTTTCAGGTAATCCTATGGTTTGTTTTTCTCTCTCCCTGTTCTGTTTTCCAGGTCAATTCTTTATATTTTCTTCGTTTTTTTCTTTCAATTTTTAAAAATTTTGCTTTAATATTTCTTGCTGTCTCATAGTCACTGTTTTCTGTTTGTTCCATTCTAATTTTCACAGATTCTCAATTCATCTACTCTAAGATACTAATTTTTCTTGCCATTTCTTCCTCCTCAATTATTAAATTTTGTATCTCTCAATTTCATCTCTTCCAGATACTCATGTAGTCCTTGTGGTAAGGGTATTCCTTTCTCTAAGACTCTACTTGAATTTATTATGGATTTACTTTTTTCTTTTGAGTTTCCCCCTTGAGCTTCTCTCATTTCAGAGTAATTCTTCATTGTCTTCTGTATTTTCTTCTATTTACTCTCATATCTTAAGCCTCAGTTTCTGTACCAGGAGCTTACACTTTGGTTAAACTTCATTCCCATACTCCTACACAGTGTGGGTAGGCCCTACTTGATTCTGCATTTTGTGGAAAAAACTAGGCCCTGACTTATTTGAGAATTGTCTGGTCTTATCTCTTGCTATGATTCATTTCTAAGCTGCCTCGATGCTGAGTTGGGCTGGGTTGCCCAAATGTTTGGTTGTATAGTCTGCCTGGATGCTGGTATAGCTCTCTCCTATACCTAACTGTGGTTCTAGGTTGGTCTGTGCTATGTGCTGATCTGGCCCTGTCTCCTGCTGTGGCACTAAACTGTTTTACTTTCCCTTCTATGGACCCAAGTTTGTCTCTGCTGCATGCTTCATTTTTTGGATTCCTGTACTTGGTGGAGTTCATAGTTGATTATTATTATTTTTTTTATCATTGTTACTTCTAATACTTTTTAGAGCTTTACTGGGGTGTTTTGTGGGTCCTAATATGTCACTATTTCCCCCATAATTCTTTAGGAAGATTGTTTTGGCATCTGTGAAGAGAATGGATTGGAGAAACAAGAGACTAGAAGTAGGAATAGTAATTAGGAAGCAATTACAATAGTCTCTGGAAGCCATGAGACGTAATGAGGGTCTGAACTAGCACAGTGGTCATAGCCACTTTCCTTAATTCTTGAGCCTAAGACAGAGGAAATAAATGTTCCTCTTTCATTCCATTATAATCCAGGGGTTATGTATGCTTGAGAAATATTCCCATTCACACCAACAATCTAGGTAGAAGTGGGTGTGACAAAGAGAAACTATATATACATATATACGCATTATATATGTGTGTATGTATGTATGTATATATATGCATGCATGTATGTGTGTATATATACATATACATGTGTATGATGTGAGTGTGATGAAAAGAAATTTTGTGTGTGTGTGTATGTGTATGTATGTGTATTCCATGTTATAGAAGCTATGTGATCACAACTTACTAAATGTCTAAATCTGTGGGTGTTGAAGGTAGAGATCCAACAAAGTGAAATACCCCTAATGCTTGGTGAAAGTGAGCCAAAAACATAAATGGTGAATTTCATACTTTGATATTTGATTATTATGTCTTCTCTTAAGACTAGACTGGAACCTGAAAGCAAGGGGAAAATGCTATGCACAGTGAAATACTATGTTGAGTGCAGGAAAAACTGCCTGGGCTTGTCATATTGTCCCTCTGCTAGAAGGTATTTAGCCAGTGGATAGTAGGGGCAGACCTAGAGGAAGAGATCAAGCAGCTCATTACCTGCTGGGTAGGTCAGATAATACATTCAAAGAATTAAAATGTTTTGGTTGGATTTTACCTATGACATTGCATGTACTTCAGATGAATACCATACCACAAGTTTCACTTACTGTCCTTTTGTGTGTATGTGTGTACATATACATATATAAAACAATATATCATACATATATACACACATATATCACAGTACAGTAGTAACAAGGTAAACAATCAAAAGCATAAAGTATTTATTAAAACAAAACCTAACTTTCTGAGTGACATACTTCAATAAAAAGGCCAAGAAAACAGTATACTTTGTCACTCTGTGCTTTTCAAAAATACTTACCAATTTCTTTCTGTTTTCTAAGTGGTACTTTTAATAGTGGCATCCCAGATACTTGCAGCTATACTTCCATGAAATTTCTGAATTGAGAATAGAAAAAAATCCAAATTAGAATTCTTTATGCAGACCTCGTCCAAATCATACCTGTGCTTAAGAAATTTAATATCAGACCCCTAAAAAAGAATTTTTAAGTAATTTTTTAAAGTATATTTTTAAGTAATACATGCTAACATTTAAAAATTATATGCCTTTAGTTAGTATCTTTAAACGGAACAATAGAAATGTTAATGCTTAGAAGTACATACTTGGAAAAATACATTTTCCAGGATAACTTAAGGATCTCCTCCACATTAACAAAAAGTTAACTCCTTTGATTTAAACCATGATACACTGAGACAGTTCCTTTAATTGACAACAGGACATTCCCTATTTAACCACTCTCTCAATCTGGTCAAATGTGAGCAAAGAAATGAAGCCACTGTCATTAGTTGAATCACCATAAACAAAGCATCTACCAACTAAACTTTTTATCCTTGCTTTAGCTCTTTGTAAATTTTGTCTTTGTTTCCTGATCAACAAAAAATAAATAGTTCTTATGGCAGAGAAAATCCTGACAATAAAGAGGAAACTCTACCTTTTGGCATTCTCTCTCTCCTAGCAACACTGCTTAGATAATTAATAAACTGTCTTTGACAGGCCTATAGTAAAAGTGTTGGCCGGTGAGATTTTCTTCCAAAGATAAATGGTACTGTGAATCATATTCCAATGTCTAACAGAAGCCAGCATGGCTCAGGATCCCTTCTTTTAAAAATAAACGAACAAAACCATAGTATCTTTAGACATCTGTAATGGAATTTTTTTCAGAGTACAGATGCCCAAAATTGCTAACCCTTGATTTAGGTTTATGGAATCTATCTTTAAGAGAAAGGCCATGTCTGTTAGATACATTAAGAGGTATTTGTATATGTTCCTACGCATGTTTAGGTCTGTAGCTGCCTAATACGCTTTACATTATAAAGTCAAATCCACACTGCTCTAAGTCTTTCCAATAATGTTATGTCACCTCTCCAGTCTAAGCCAATGTTATGTCACCTACTCAGACAAAACCAATTTCAGCTGCATCTGATTGTTAGCAATTCCATCAGAGAGAGAATCAAATGTTTTCTAAAAGGAAGAGAAGAAGTGAACTCAAGATGGTGGGGTGAGAGGGAAACAATTTTGTCTACTTCATCCAGCATACCACCTCCATAATAACCTAAAAAACATGCCAGACCAAATTCTCATTAGAAAAACTAATAAAAAGTCAGTGAGTAATTTTTCCAGCCCAGGACAGCATAGGAAGACACATGGATCTTCTTACACTAGGGTGGGAGACTGGCCAGGAGCACAGCACCCTGATAGTAGCAACAGTAACAGGAACCTGGAACATTCTAATGCCTTGGGACAAAAAGAACCCAAGATAGAGCACCAGGGAAGGAAGCACTAGGAAAGAAAGAGATCCTGAGGTATGCTGACCTATCTCTGAGAGCGGCACCTAGCGGTTCTATCACCCATTACCTAGTTCTGGGTCAGAGATCTAACATAAAGAAGAGCAGCCATGAGTGAGCGGGTATACCGAACAAGGAATAAGTTCCAGAAGCTTAGCTCTATGACTCTGAGCCCAGGAACTGAGCAGCAACTCAGTTCTAACATTTAGCCCCAGCACATAAGCCTGCAGTGCAATAACCAGGGCAGGAAGCTACAACCAAGGGAGAGCCAACAATTCATTCACTCTTAATCTATGGAACTACTCAGCAAGCTGGGTCCAGCAGCAGTCAACCACATATAAGCCCTCAGACCCAAACCTGGGTAAAGTATTTGTAGAGTTCAGACTAGGAGGGCAGTGAAAAGACTTCTCCCTGGATCATACCACTTTGGAAGCACTGAAAACTTGTAGGCATCCGGACTGAGATAAGAAAGAAATACATAAAATGGCAGAAACTTAGGTCAGACATCCTTCCCAGAAGAGAACAGAGCCAAACATTAACATAAAGTCGATAGTCAGGAAGTTGTCTGGAAGAATGAGCTAACAACAACAAAAAGAACCCAACCATAAAGAGCTACTATGATGACAGGGAAGCTCAAGACACAAACACAGAAGACAACCACCTGAAAACAAATGTGTTACTTTATAAATGTGAATGGCCCAAACAGAAATCCAGGACTCTGTGAGACAGCAAAAAACATGAGAACAAAATCAAAAGACTGAAAAATCTGAAGAAAATATAAAATATATCCCATTAAGAATGAGGTAGAAAAGAAGTCAAGGAGAGATCATCTAAGTATTATAACACTATTTGAAAACTACAACCTCCCCAAAAGGATACATACCATATTTCAAGAAATCATAAATGAAAACTGCCCAAACTTACAAAAACCAAAGGGAAAAGTAAAAATAGAGAGAATTCACTGGTTACTTCCTAAAAGAAAACCTAAAATGAAAACTCCTAAGAAATGTTAGCCAAAATTCAGAGCTTACAGGTTAAGGAATGTGAATGAGATGCCACTTATAAAATGGAAGAGGACAGTAAAATGGATTAGAAAACAGAGTTCAATAATATATTCTTCACAAAAAAAAAGTCACAGTAAGTCATTTTTCTAGTCCATGGCAGCTCAGGGATTCAGATAAATAAGTCCAGGGAAGGAGTCTTAGATCAAAAGAGAGTCAGCAATTCAGTCACTCTGAACCTGCAGAACCTCCCAGCAGGCTAACAATGACAGGATCTACCAGCACCCCGCTGAAACTCTACCACATATAAACCAACATTCCCAAACACAGATTATTAGGAACTTTCAGAGTTCATATCAAGAGGTTGGTGAACAAACCTCTCCCCTGATCACACTACTTTGGGAATGCTGAAAACTTGCAGACTTCTAGTCTGAGCTGAAAAAGTAGGACACAAAAAGACAAAAACTCAGGCAAGACAAGATTCCCTACCCTCCTTCACCCCAGAAAAGCACAGAGCCCAGCAGTCCAAACTCAAGAAGTAGGCTGGAAGAAAGAGCAAATAAAAAAAAAAAACTACAACCATAAGGAGCTATTATGAGTGACAAGGAATCTCAAGACACAAATACAGAAGAAGACAATGCCCTGAAAATATTTCCAAGAAAAATCACAAAGAAAAATGTAGATTGGACATGGGCCCAACAAGAATTCCTAGAAAAGTTAAAGAAGAAATTTTAAAAATGATTTTAAAAATCAAATGCTAATTATGCAAAAAATATATGAAAAGAAAATTGACAGCTTGATAAAGGAGGTTAAAAAAAACTATTCTGAAGAAAATAACTTCATGAAATTAAAAATGGCCAAAAGAAAGCTAATGACTCCATGAAATTATAAGGAATAATAAAACAAATACTGAAAAAAAACAGAAAATGTGAAATATCTTAAAGGAATAACAACTGAACTGAAATACAGATCAAGTAGAAATAATTTAAGAATCACTGGACTACCTGAAAGTCATTAAAAAAGAACTAAATAAACACTGTATTTCAAGAAATTATAAAAGAAAACTTCATAGACATCTTAAAACCAGAGGGCAAATTAGAAACTGAAAGAATCTATTGGTTATCTCCTGAAAGGAGCCCCAAAATGAAAGTCCCAGAAATATCATCAGCAAAATGCAGAGCTCCCAGATAAAGGAAAGAATACTCAAGCAAACAGAAAAAAAAGAATTCAAGTACACAAAATTTAGCAGCCACCATTTTAAAACAATAGAGAAGCTTGGAATATAATATTACAGAAGGCAAAGAATTTAGGATTAGAACTAAGAATAGCCTACCCATCAAAACTGAATATAGTCCTACAAGGAAAAAAAGGGATCTTTAATAAAATAGAGAACTTTTTAAGCATTCCTGATGAGAAGACCAGACTATAGATGGGCTGAACTCTCCCATAAAACAGAAGAGGATTTCAGAATGAATTAGAAACAAGAGTCCAAGAACACATTGTTTATCAAAAAAATACCTGAAACAGAAAGATACAGAGAGAGCTAAAATAAGAGGCTAGAGCAGAATCCATTATAGTTCCACTTAAGAAAAAATGGTAGGGGTGGCAATTATGATCTCAGATAAAGCAAAAGCAAAAATAGACTTAATGAAAAGAGATAAACAGGGAAACTACATTTCCTAAAAGGTACCACAGACAACTAATAGTAATGCTAAATATATACACACCAAAGGCCATAGCTTATAAATTCTTAAAGGAAAAGTTAAATGAGTTACAGGAAGAAATAGACAGTGATCCTATAATGGAGAGGTGGAAGAGACAACACCAGCATTTAATTCTCTCTGACAGAGATAAATCTAATCATAAAATAGACAAGAAAAAAGTTAATGAGATGAACACCATTTTAGATGTTATTTATGATAGATCTCCAGATAGTAGTGAATAGAAATAGAAATTGAGTGGAAACAGAAAGGACTTATGCCTGACAACTTTGCAAAAATTGTAACTGCTATGCATTACAGCAGAAAACCTCATAAATAATGCAAAAAGCATAAATATTAAATGTATCTTTTCCCAACTATAATGCAATAAAATTATATTCAATAAAAGGCATTTGAATTATAGATTAAAAACTAATTGGCAACTAAATAACAGTCCTAAAGAATGGATGAATCAAAGAATAAATCTTAAAAACAATAATTTCATTAAAAATAATGACAACAATGAAACAATATACCAAAATTTGTGGGATGCAGCCAAAGCCGTACTTAGGGGAAATTTTATATCCTTAAACATTTACTTCAATAAAAAAGAGAAAGAGCAAATCAGTGAATTGGGCATGCAAAAACAACAACAACTAGAAAACCAACAAATAACCATTGCTCCCCAATTAAACACCAAACTAGAAATGCTGAAAAATCAAAGGAGAGATGAATAAAATTTAAATAATAACAACAATAATGAACTAATAAATAAAACTAGGAGTTATTTTCTTTAAAAACATTAAAATAGATGTCATTGACTAATTTTTTAGAAAAAGAATGAAGAAAACCAAATTCCCAGTATGAAAATAGAAAAGGTAAATTCACAATC